GTATCGAGGTGTTTTTCTTGGCAGCTTGCCCCTCATGTTCATGGTGTACTTTCAGTTCTTGACTGCCATATGCTCCTGGTTTGTGTGATTCCTCCACAGCGTCCTTACTAGTAAAGACAACACCACATCCAAGAATGTTGCTTTACGTTCCACAACTTCCTCTTACTCTTCTGATCCTTCTTCTCGCCTAGTCACATGTTGATCTAACACCTGGTCAACATTCTGAATACCGCAGATATCGACAGCACTGTCATGTGTTGGGTACTCCTCAAACTGCACGCCAAAAGGCTGTAAACTTTGCCAGTCATCCTCTTCATCTTCAGTGAGTTTCACAGCACTGTCATCATTACTGCTGACATTATCAGTCAATAAACCAGCTGTGTGAGGTAATATTCAGATATTTTGGTGGCCATCCAAGAATTTGTATTCCCTTCATATTTGGTAGGTAGTCTCCTTACATATTCTTGAAGTAATGCGGACTTCCATATTTCCCAATTGCTAGAGTGGTAGTTTATCACTGTCATCTTCATTTCATGTGAGGAACACAGTAACCCACTCTTTAGATTTTGTACCACCATAGCAAAAGTGTCCTCGGCAAGTGAGGGTTCTGTTAGGTTATAGACTGAAAAATAGAACAGTATCGTATCATCAGCATTATTATGTCACAGAGGTGAGAATTCCTTGCAACAGTCAGTAATCTTTCCAGTCTTCTTCAGTTTCTGAATCAACACTCTCATCTCACTGATTTTTATAAGCAATGTTGTGTTTCCTCTTAGATCTTCTTATCCAACCATCTGATGATGAAAAGTTGGCTATTTCCAGAAGAGCAGAGATGTGTCACCTTGAGGTGGGTGCCATCTATGGAAGCATTACTCTCACGTGCTTGCTTGAACCATGCAGCAAATGCAGATTCCAGTTCTCGAGTGGACAGCATTTCAATGACTTCCCCTTTTTGGCCGAAGGTCCACACTGGGCGGAAATTTTTCCAGTTACTTCATGGTTCTTCGCAATAGGGTTTAGTGCAGGCACTGAAATTCTTAACCATGATGCCTGTTCAACACGTGTTCCAATATGTGCATCAACTTGCACTGAAATATATATTTTAATCACTTACTGTAAGTAATTTAGGTTTTGCTTTACTAGCCATGTTTCATCATCTTAATGTTAAATTTGTCTTAGTCTATAATCAAATTTGGTCTTCAGAAAGTGAAGTCACATGGGCATAGGAAAATTTATGATTTAATTTAACCTGGGTGCATTTCTGTTAAATTTTCCACTTGTGAAAACACAATGGTTGCTGAGCTGCTTTGGTACACTTGTCAGACATGAGAGAGAGAAATGCACTAGCTGAGTTACTCTTATACCAAGAAGCAACATGTTTAAAGCTGGCCTAGTGCACATGAGGTGTTTGGGCCACAGTGGTGGAAAAATTTGCTCATGGACACTAAGCCATAGTGAAGTCATATGGTGCATGCATAAATAACTTGCAGCCATGCATCAGCCACCTGATACTTATTTTCAGACTGAACCATTTGCAACTGCTACCAGGAAAGAGGTCCATTGTCATGGACAAAAAATTGTTAAGAATTGAACTACAAAATGTAAAACTGGGTAAATTTTCACAGCCAGGACAAGAAAAATGGAGTGCAAATTCTGGGAAAATGTAAAATTGCAGAAACATAAAATCCAGTAAAGATTAACATTACTGATATGGGCATTTGGAAGGAGCCATGCAAAAAGTGTGTAAATTTGAAAAACATGTAGAAGCCGTGACAGTAAAAATGAAGTTTCACTGTATATCCTACTCTAGCTTCACACATGATTTTCATCAACAGTCCACATTTTATATTTTTTCAGGATTATATGTCCTGAACTTTAAGCAGCCTCTCCAAGGGATCATGCTTTTATCCAATGAGAATTTTCTTTGCAGGCTGTGAACTGAACTGAACTGAACTGAACTTGTGAAGGAAATCTTAACAAACCAGTTGAATTGTGAAAAGTCTGCCTATATCCCGAGTGTTCTGGCTGCTGTCACTAAATGCCAAGCTTGCTAGAGGGCATCAATAGGGCTCTACTCATAAACTGGGGGAAAAACTGACATCCATATTGTGGGGTCAGTTGACATAGCAGTCTTTCCTGTTTGTTTCTAACATGTCCCAACAAAATTATCAGGCCTAAAAATTTTACTCCACCTCACCTGAGGACAAAAACTGATCCAGTTTCTGAAATATTGAGCTCTCTAGTTTTTTAGAATATCAGACAATGGACAAAGTCTGAAAATCCAGTAGCTCTTTGAGTGTTGCACACCACTGTCTGTCAGAACCCTTTAGAATCTACCTAAAATTGTAAATTTATGAAATGGTAACATTGAACCACTTTAGTATTTTAAGCGATATTTTCCCTCAGTGAGCATCCTAAGTAGTCTGTGGAAGCTGTTTAAGTTAATCATGAATGGAGCACTAACCACCTCAGTAACACAATCAGTAACAATATGCCATGAAGGCATATGGGGAATGAATGTATAGATACATATTTTCTTGACCTTAGCACTAGTTGGAGGTGAGTGGTCAGTTTCACGCCCTGGCCGCTTTAACCCTGGGGAAAGAGCCCCCAGTACCCACTGGATAGGAGGTTGGGTAGATCCTAGAGCCAGTCTGGGCGATGCGGTGAATGGAAAATTCTTGACCCTACTGGGACTTGCACGCCAACCACCCAGTCATTCAGCCCATAGCCAGTCAGTATACCGACTATGCTATCCCAGCTCCAACAACACTATCAGGGTTATCAAAAACCATATTCAATCCTGTGATTCCAAGAAACGTCTCATCATTTACTTTCAAGTAAGTTTTATGTTGCACATCAAATTGATTATCACAATAAAATGCCAGTTCTGACTAAACATTTTTCATGTTCTTCTCTATTACATGATTCACTATCACTTGCAAAAAACAGGACAAGGTCATGACTATTTACAGGCCATGTTACTAGGCCTGGCCTCTGGTTTGTACATGAGAAGTATAACAAGTAGTGGGAAGAGGTTGCAGCTGCATTATGGGAGGGTGATGTAGTGACCCACATGTTACACTCTGTATCCCATTTAGCAGACCATCCAGGCCCACTGTGCCTTCTGTTCAGAATGGCCAGGTTTAAAAAACACAAACAGTACCTGAACTGGTGGTGGCTACATCAGTGTTCAGTGTTTATTTCAGTACTTTCATCAATAGATACATCAGCAACTCAAATCTGCTAAGTTCAAACAATGACTCAGTAAATACATCCCCGCAGTAGCATACACGTGCAACAACAGGATGTCCATTGCTATGCAACAGATCAGTAAACAAGCCTCCTCAACAATAGAGAGGTTATGTTTTTTCTGTGTGGCCCCTGCCAAGGGGTTATAAAGGGACAAAGAAGTTCATTTGAGAGCTGTTGTCGAGAACTGGGTTGAAGGTGACTGATTGAGAAGAAATGGCAAGAAATGAATTAGACTGTGCAAAGAAGGCTTCATGTGTGATTTGAAGTTACAGTGAGATGGTTACAAATCTGTTGCCAGGATTCGGCTAGTGAAGACTGGGAATCCTAGGGTGTGTGTGTGTGTGTGTGTGTGTAACGGTGAACTAAAGTGCATAGATCAGTGATAGCACCGTACTGCCTGTAGTACCAAGTTGTGTGAATGTATAAGGTGTCAATAAATCCAGTCATCCAATCTGGAATCCATCTACATGTCACATAACAAACCCCTACAAGTGACAGTATCTACAGGCATGAATTACTAAGAGTGTGTATCTAGCAGGATGCAATGCAACAAAAACTTGACCATCAGCAACTTCAGACATAACAACGCTCCAATATTTCAATTATTATTTAGAACAGATGGCATACTGGTTTGAGGAAACTGAGCAAACTGAATTGTCCAACTGTTATGCTGCATATTTTTCAAGTGGTTTATATGTATTATTAGGAAACAGAATCACTCTATTCAAGCTGCCAATAACCCTGAGCTAATCTGTCAGCTTCAGCAGCACCCCAAGATAGAGAGCAACAAAGACGATAAAAACATAAGATCTACATGACCCATATGGACGCCATGGAATTAAATCACAGCTTCTAACTGACCTGTCCATAATGTGCTAACAGTCCCCAGTACAGACTTTAGATACTTCGTCAGTCCGCAGTATAGTCTGGCTTGAGAAACACTGACTTCAGACCCTCTTGGTTGAAGTTAACAATATTTTGTCTAACAATTTGACAAGCCTTATTTGATGTCTACAATGGCATTCACATTACCCAATGCTGCAGAACTCTCTTGAGATTTTATTCTGATTATTTCATTCCAAAATCATTTAGCTTCTTGACATCAACTCTCCATATCAAACATCCACATTGCTCATTTACTTACTCAGTCTCTTCAGAGCTTCTGTTGCTGTCAGTTTCATTGCGTGCTCCTCAAACATCGAACAGCAAATTTATTTCAATGCCATCTTCAAACATAATCTCTTTGTGTGTCTTGCCATAAGCGGTCTTATTCTAACCCATTATTATTACGTAGTTTAAAGCAAATTCTGATTCCCAACTGTCAGTTTGAACTGAAGTAACAAAATTTTCATGGATTACTTCTGGAATTATCCAAATATATGATTTAGTTCCTCACAAAAGCCATCTTCTGAATCACTGTTTCTGCACAGCTGTGGCCATGCCATGACTCAGGAGGTTAACTGCGACTGTGACAACCTTGGTTCAATCCCAGGATGAGTCATGTGGGTTTTTTGGTGGATGAGATGGCACTGTGGCATGTCTTCTCCAAGTACTTCAGTTTCCCTTGCCAATTTAATTCCACTAACTGCTTCATACTCACTCATCACCTAGGACTGGTGCAATGGGCCCATTAGTGGCCTGCATACCATTGCACTCATTGTCATTCCATCCCATGCAATAAAAAAAGTCCTCAGTTGTGGAATGTGCACTCTGAAGAACTATGGGCACACAGACATCATACTCACCTCTGCTGGAACTGTTATCAACAAAGGATCCTTCTCTTCCTGCACCTCGGTTTCGCCTTCAACTTTTATGCTGACAACCTCATTTTCATCATGACAGGATGTGAGGTATGTCTCACAGTATGAACCTGGTACAACTTCCGAAGAATCAACACAGTTCTGCAAAAATCACTGTACCTTTATTACACAAAATAGGCTGCACTTTCATTAGAACCATTCTGCACCGAACCAAACTGACAGATCATCATCATCATCATCATCAGATAGTGACAGAGATCATTACATCATCATCAACAGTTACTATATTCTATTTTCAACAATGAGAACCAAAATTGCCATATTGGAGAAGGGTCACTTCTTCCACAAGACTGCCTGCATANACTGCACTTTCATTAGAGCCATTCTGCACTGAACCAAACTGACAGATCATCAGATAGTGACAGAGATCATTACATCATCATCAAGAGTTACTATATTCTATTTTCAACAATGAGAACCAAAACTGCCATATTGGAGAAGGGTCACTTCTTCCACAAGACTGCCTGCATAAGATGTGGTGTAATGTAGCCCCAAGATGTTTTAGACATGTTTTAAGACAGCTATTTTCTGGATAGTCTATTATTTACACATCAAAATCATTATTAATTGATGCCATGGAGAACTATTCTAAAGCTGCCCCTCTGCTACGCAAGATCTTTCACACTCACATATCACAACAGACAAAATTACGGATCTACACACTTCAATGTCTATGTTCTTTGATAGCTTACAGGAAGGTACTGGATTCCGAGAGATAACAAAGTATTCCCATAATTGAATATACTCATAATTTCTTCCTAAATACAGTTTTAATTTGTTATTGTCATTCCAAAATATTTTGTCACATTTTCAAAGGATTTATCACATTTTATGTCATGATCTTTTCCTGCATTCTGGTGACACGAACTTATACTTAGTTATGTAGGATTTGAGGTTTTCACAGCGGTGGCTATGAAGAATGAGGTCTTCTGGGATGTGGTGCTATGTAAATTTTGTGTGAACCAACGTTTTGGAGGAACGTAGCACCTCCATCTTCAGAGTAGAAAAATCTGCAAGCAAAGAACCAGCATGAGCAGGGNTCATCACCAGGTGTCCACGATTTGCCACTGTCTGTTTGCATCAGCCAGTCACGGACTGGAGTACACTACATATTTGCCTGCATCTATCCATATTACAGCACTGAACCCGTACTTAAAATAAACCAGCTTGTATTCTTGTCATACGAGGGGGTACCCAAAAGAAACCGAACTTATTTTTTTTTAACTTATTTATTCAAATTTTAAGCACAAACCTTCAATCCCCTTCAAAGTACTCTCCACTTACACTAATACACTTGTCTAGCCTTTTATTCCATTTTT